ATGGTCTATTTGTTTGGACTATATTCGGAAGACGAGTTTCTACGCCTCTCATATATATCACAAGGGAAACGTTGTTGCAGACAATTTTGCTAACATAGGCTTGTCTTCACCAACTTTGGTATTGCATGATTCCCCTCCAATGGCGGCTCGTGCTGCTTTGTTTTCAAACTATGTTGGGTTTCCTAGCTTCCGCTTCTCAACTTAATGTGCATCTCGGCATACATGTTTGTCTGACTTTCTTATGTTCTTTTCTTAACATGTGATGTTGCTTGATTTGTTTTGCAAGTTTAGACCTTTTTAGGTTTGCTTTTAGAGGGGTTAGGTTTCATGCCCCCCCCCCTTTTTCCCTGTACCATTATTGTTTTTGTTTCTAGAAGGGTAAGGTTTTATGTCCTCCTTTCTTTTTCATGTTTTTTTCTTTCTTTTTTTTTTTTTTTTTTTTTTTTTTTTTGCTTTTTTTTTTCCTTGTACTATGAGGGATTAGGTTTATGTCTCCCGTGACTAAGTGTAACTTAATTTTATTTTATCAATAAAATTTCCCTCGTACCATAGAGGTTTTCCAAATTTATTTTTTTAAAAAAAAAAAGGCTTTTGGATTTTGAATATTTAAATACTCAAACTAAAGTATTGTTTAGTACCTACTATATATGAAGAAAATTTGTGTGTAACTACAAAACCTATACAATCTAGTAACATACACAAGCTAAGTCCTCTAATTAGTTGACTAAAAAACTGACTACAACAACGAAAACTTCCTTTACAATTGGCAATACAAATTACAGCAACATACCCTCTGATCCTTCTATGCACATGAATATTATTACCTCTCCAAAATTCCAAAAACTTGTTTCTGAAACAGTTTATGTGCCTGTTCTTCTTTGCAAGTTCAAAGAGTAGTCCATCCGTAGCCCCAACCGATGCTCCATTCTCTTCACACTTCTCCACCGGCGTTGACAGGCCACATTAGATCCAGAAAGATTGGGAGTCTAGTCTGCTTGACCTCCAAGTCTGCTAGCAGCTCCCTCTCTTCCTCTTATGATGAGGAAGACGAAGAAGAAGAGGATGAAAGAGATTCTTTGGTGGTTACCTACAACCACTAAACTACAGAATAGTAATTATAAAACATTTAGAATGGACAATAAAAAGAACTTTTAAAGTAATTATAAAGGAGATGTATTAGTCATATCCTAAACTGGGCAGAACGTATTCATATAATCTGGTAATTCATCGATTCGATTGAACATGAACTTCATCATTCTTGGTATGCATATTCAAAGATATACAACTTGAAATGATATAGATTTGTAGGACTAAAGAAACTTAACAACACCAATAGCTAGTTTGATTGTGTTATGAAAATAATTCTCTTGTTCTAAACCTTTTTGAGTGACTCGTTAGTTGCTATGAAATCACGAATTTCTAATGTTTTCTCGAGAAGAGTATTCGGGTTTATTTATAGTGAAAAATGACGAATTTTGTTGTGAAGTTATGGAAACATATATAATTCCGTATCTACTATTGAGATATTATTCACCCTCGCATTTATAAATTTGATAAAACTAGCCATATTCGAATTTATCATGTTGAAAACTAAGATTTCTTGAGTACATGAAAATCCATGTGGTTCACCAACCAAAGTAATTCGTAGTTGTCATACCCCGGGCCTAGGATCGGTGAAAACCTCGAATCCGAATTCAGGGTTAAAATTTAATAAATAATTGAAAACTAAATAGGATAAAATATAACTACAATAAAAAAAATCTTATAAAAAATAATAATCTTTACAAGCATACAAGAAATAATAAAATTCCAAGCCTCCTATATAATTCGACCTCATTATGTTTACCCTATTTGATTGCCTAGTTATAAACCTACACAATTTAGTTAGGATGAGCTTTCACGCCCCAATTCGTGAACAAGTCTAAACCCTGAATTAAGCTATGATTCACACTGTAATTACAATAGCTAGTCTAATAAAATTAAAATGTGAGATGCAAGTTGGAGCGGTATTTCCAATTTCCACTCTAAAATTTGTGAATTCGAACCCGAAAATTCTAAATACGAATATTTTTGAAAATTTGGAATAGAAATTGGAATGCATTTAGAGATTTCAAATTTTTTGAATTTCTGACTGAAACATTACATAAGTTCGTAACTTATGTTGTTCAGCTAACTTTCCACCATAAGAAACCACCAACTCTACCATTAAATTACATACCTAAACTTGTTAGAGATATACAAAGATGAGAGATTTTTTAGTAACCAGAAACATGGTTTGATATATCAATTATCACAATACAAGTGATTGGATACTTGAAAATAAAATTCAACCACTTATATTGTTATACTTGATGTACCACACTATGTTCCCGACACATTTGGTCATGTTCATAGCACATTTAGTGTACCTCATTTGGAACTACCCAAACCATGTCTTGGTCATTCATTCTTTCTTTTTCACATAAATTGTGCAGAGAAAAAAGGATAGAATTGTTTTGAATGGTTTGAAGAGATGCACATGTAACAAAAACTTCAAAACCCGTTCAATGTAAAATGCCAAAATATCGTTATATATATCAAAATAAAAATTTAGAAACTTAAAAATAGCGGAGTGGGACAACTGACAAACACATGCAACAGAACAAAATCATCAATGCTAAAACATTAGGGCTTGTTTCGTATTCTATTTGAAATTTTTTATAATTTCTCAAAACATTTCTTAAGAATTTTTCTTGAAAACAATTTTTTTTAAGACTCGAAAACTTGTTTGGTATTCAATTTAAAATTTTTAAATCTTACAACTTAAATTGGACAAAAAGATCCAAAAAGAGAGGGTCGGGAGAGAAAGAGGAGTGAGGAGGAAAGAAAGTAAGAGATGATTGGAAGAAAGAGAAAGAAGTGAGATGATCGGAGGAGATAGAGAGGAAGAGGAGTGAGAGAAAAAATCGAGAGAATGAAAAGAGCAGATTGGAGGAGAGACTAAAAATGTTAAAAAAAAAGAGAAGGGGGAGGAAAAGAAGAAAAGAGATAGATTTGGAGTGAGATGGGGAGGGGGGGGGGAAAGAAAGGAGTGAGTTTAAGTTTAAAAACTCACTTTTTGTGTTTTTAGATAATAGACTATATTTTTTAGTTAGTGTTGAGTTCAGTTTTTTAAAATAGTCCTACCAAACAAATTTTTAAGGCCTAAAACTTGAAAATTGTTTTTTAGTTTAAAAAGTTGGATTCAAGTAGAGTACCAAACAGGCTCTTAGATATATCCATTAACTCATAATTCAATTCACCTACCTTTTCCTGTGATTTCTCGCATTTTTACTGGAGAGTTTATAGAGTTTTGGCTCGGATGTTCACACCACCGCCCTTGTTGACCTTTGTTGGTCCTTCCTGATGTTCGCCTTGGTTGGTGATGTCAGATCTCACTTCCGGTTGGATTCCTTTGTTTCTTGTTGGCGTTCATTTTGGTGGTCCATGGAGGATGGAGCAGCAATTTCTTCTTTAAATTTGAGAATCTGGATGGTTTGATGTCTGGTGGCGGAGGCACTACATAGGCCTACCCTCACTTTTTCATCCTTTCTAAATAATTTGTAATATGTTTCTTCTTCTTTTTTTTTGGTAAATTTAGTATTATCTTTCTTTTAGTCTATACAAAATTCTTAAATTCTATTTACCAATAATTAAAATAATAGGTCTCTTATTATTTTCAATTCCAACACCACTCATCTTAAAACTAAATTTAACATCTTATTTTATAAAAAAAAAATCAAATCTTAAAATCAAAATGTAAAGTCTTATTTAGTTTTATCAAAAAATATTTTTTTCACATTGTCCAACACGAAGAATAATAAACTTTGAGTTTTTCTCCTCTCCTTCGTGAAATTTCATATATTTGTCCTCCAAATTCCAACCCAAAACAATATTAATGTTTATAAATCTATATGTTCTCTTTAACTTTTTACTAAATTTATAAAATTTCATATATTTTTTTCTTTAAATTCTCAATCCATTTTTCTCTTTTTTTTGTTCGAAAAATCTCAATTAATTACTCTCTATATTGACTTGATATTAGAAGGCTAATTTCTGAAAAATTTAGCGCCTAAAAAATTTTAATTAGCTAACAATTCAAGCATGTATTCTACTCTCTTAACAATATTATCTCTTTGTTTTATTTTTTGGACATGTATGTGAGGCCCCTCCTCACATAAAATTCTAGTTCTGCCACTGTGTGCTCCATTTTGGGAAGCATTAGCGGTGGGGAATGCAGCTCCAGTAGCTGTGGGTGCTTAGGGTTTTTCCTATTTTTATGGTTTGCAAGTGATGGGCTCCAAGTAGACTTTGGGCTTTTTTGTGTGTTTTTGGGTCCATGTTTCTTTGTATTTAGTGTATTTTTAGGCTCTTTGAGTGTAATGTATTGTTGTTGGTAATAAAATTACTTCTTGACTAAAAAATATAAAAAAATTGATATATCCAATATGAGATCTTTAATCCAACTTTGTTTTATAAAATATGGTAAGAATATTAGATACTATGAAATCTTGTATTGGTCGTTTTCACTTTTATTTAATAGAGCGAAATATTTACAAAAAAGGGTCAGTTTATAAATATTAAAATATTATAACTAGTGCTAAGAAGACTAAATATGTAAACTAATTTTGCAACCTAAATTATGTATCACCAATAAAAATAAACACATTGCTCAGTAATTAAGTAATAATCTAAGCATTAATATTTATGTTATTTGATTTACAAAATTTAGTTTACCCATTTAATTTCCTTAAGTAGTAACACTATATATAATAACATATTTTACAAAAGACGACTATGATTTATTTTATTGTGTTAATAATAGTTTCTCAAGATATTATTTTTTATGTAATACAGGATAAACGAGTATTTGTTTCCATTTTTGTTACGAATTAGAATAAACGACTGCTGTGTTTAGCTGCCGCTGCCTTCATTGACATTTCTGATCTCTCACCGCACCATAAAAGCACCAACTCTGGCAACTATATGTCTAAGATAAACCTTCTTTCTGAGTTTCACACACATAGAGAGAGACAGAGAGAGAGAGAGAGATTTAAAGAGAGAAGATGAGGAAGGTGGTGTGCGTAACAGGAGCCTCCGGTTACATAGCATCATGGCTGGTGAAGCTCTTACTGCAACGAGGTTATATTGTCAAAGCCACTGTTCGTGAACCAAGTCAGTATATATATCTCCCTCCCTACCATTTTCTTAGTTTCTTGCTTAATAATCTTGCTCATCTTATATATACATTGTTTCAGTAAATTTCATTATTTAAAGTCTGGGTTTTTATTGATTAACAATTCATGGCCTAGAGGCTAGGGCTGTAAGAGATGAATACTGCACCTATGACAATGTTTGGTAACGAAAAATGGAACTGGATCCTCTCCTCAGCTCAGGATGGAGATCCTCATGAGCAACCTATCCAGGCTATTTAAACTTGATTCAACGGCTGCAATTATTATAACTTTTAGAGGGGCTCCTTATTTAGAGTCGTTGGATCAAATTTCAACGGTCCAGATGGGCTACTCAAGAGAATCCTCATCCTGAGCTCAAGAGAGGATCCAATTCCACGAAAAATTACTGGTCTCTATGCAGTATAAAAGCACTTTTCAGTTATTTCTCATCCAAAGACTCCTTTTGAATGCTTTTCGAAGGAAAATTCAGATTTTTGTAAACAAAATTTCGATGTAACTTTTAACACAAGCGATTAACGCAGTAAAATAAATGTTTTTTTTTTTGGTAAACAAATAAATGTTTGTTTCAATTTTGCATGCATATACGTATATATAGTAGTAAGTGTAGAATATTACAAACTTAAGTCTTAGTGTAAGTGGAATTATTGCTTCTTTACATCGGCCTAGGGGATGGGGATGGGTTCGAAACTCATCTCCATCATTTTGTTAGTTTATATTTTTATTAAATGCATAAACTTCCATAAAATAATATAAAAATTCCACACAATAACATGAAAATTCAAAACCTGATCCTCTAAATAGTTAAGGAAAAACAATACGCCACCTTTCTGCCTGTTAATTTGTTAAATTTGTTTGTGCTATTAGAATTTATAGAAGCTCAATTAAAAACTAAAATTATTATTTTGACAAAAAAAATTAAATTCTTAGTATTTTTTAGGGCCTTCAATTCACTTTGGCACGGGCCCCTAAAGTCTCAAGACCGACTCTGCAAGTTACAAGTTACAACAATGAACTCTTATGCTCATTTTACTCTGGACTTGAAGATGAATTGTAGACTTGTAGTTTCAACTAAAAATCGATCCGCATTTTTTTGAGTTTTGGATATAACATATATAAGATAAGAAATTTCAAATTCTGAAGAAAATAATTAGATATGGATTGAATTTTGCAGTGAGCCAACTAGCCAAGTGGGCAATATAGTCAAGGAAAATGACTTTCACACGCTTCTAGTTCTTGTCTTTTGATATATATATATATATATATATATATATATATTAGTTTTTACATTGAATATAGCGAGACAAAATTCAGGACAAAATTAAAATGAATATGCAAAATATGAAAAATATGTGCAGAAATAATTTCCCTCGTGTAAAGGCGAAGATGTAGCAAGGGAAGAGGTAGAAATTGTGCTATCTATGGGTAGAGCACAAAACACTTTCTTTTCGTTTTTTTTTTTTTTTTTTTTTTGAATCACAAAATACTTCTATTACAAGGATATTAATTACAAGTTCTTTGAGTATTCTTTTCGGATAGAGTATTTTAGTGCTGAATGGCAATTGGGATTATTTCAAGGACATATTATGAATGTTTTGTGTATGCATGCAGATGATTCAAGGAAAACAGAACACCTGCTCGCACTTGATGGAGCAAAAGAAAGGCTTCAGTTGTTCAAAGCAAATTTATTAGAAGAAGGATCTTTCGACCCTGCAGTCGATGGATGTGAAGGTGTTTTTCATACAGCATCGCCTGTACAACTTTCAGCCGCTGATCCGCAGGTACTTCATCCTTTTACTTACATATATAGTTGAACTTTGATCAGATTGGGAACCCTATCAAATTACGAGGACTAAGGGCTGGTTTGGTATTGCTGTGTTTTGAAAAAAAAGCTGATGTGAGAATAAGCGGCTGTGAAATAAATCAGCATAGTGTTTTGTAAACTTTTTTGTAAAAGTTTTTTTTATTAAAAAAAGCAGTCTGATAGTGGGTCTTTTCATTAAAGGAGCACTGTAGCTCCGTGTGCTTTGAAAAAAAAACAGTTTTCCAAAGCTGCAAATAGCAGCTTCAGCTTTTCCTTTGATTTCAGCTTATTCTCACAGCAGCTTCTAAAATAAGCCTTTTTTTTTCAGTTTACCAAACACCTAAAACTCTCACAGCTTTTTTTCATGAGTGTTTTTTTTTTTTAAGCACCTCACTCTCAAACCATCTCTAAGTGTGCTTTCGCCATGAAAGTCTTGTTAAGTTTCTAGGTTACCCAATGGTACGGACTCTTTCTCTCTTTTCAGTATACATATTCTTTATGTAAACACTGAATGATTCTTTCGTTCTGCGTCCCAGACAGAACTAACTGACCCTGCAGTGAAGGGCACACTCAATGTCCTAAAATCGTGCGTAAAATTTCCTACTGTCAAGAGAGTGATTTTAACATCTTCCATGGCGGCAGTCATGGTGAATGGAAGACCTTTGAACCCTGATGTGGTAATTGACGAAACATGGTATTCGGATCAAGCAATTTGTGAGCAGTTGAAGGTACGTTTTGTGTGTTCCCATACATACGTATTATTTTCTTCCAAGTTTTCACCTTTTATTCTTTAATGAATTTGTGAAATTTCCATGTCTAATTATGTGCAGGAATGGTATTTTCTTTCAAAAACTTTAGCTGAGGAGGCTGCTTGGAAATTTTCCAAAGAAAATGGGATTGACTTGGTTACAATCAATCCATCATATGTGATTGGTCCGCTCCTACAGCCAACTCTTAATCTCTCTGTGGAGATGATTCTGAATCTCAAAAATGGTACACTTCTACAACCGGATTATTTCTCTCTTTCTTGGTTAGGGCAGAACATGATTGTTTGTAGATGCTCGCAGGCCGTTTCCTAGCAAATTAGATGATTCGATGCAAGTTTCAAGTATTTCTTGCGATTCAAGTTTTAAATGTTTCGTTTCTATGCAGATATCCCAAGTATAATCAGTTCAAATTATCCATCTAGTGATGTCAGAGATGTTGCCTTTGCTCATGTTCAAGCATTTGAAGTCCCTTCGGCTAGTGGCAGATATTGTTTCGTTGGCCATGTTACACCCATGTCCAAGGCTCTGAGTATTTTACATGAACTCCATCCCACTTTTTTCCCACCTGAAAAGTAAGTTTTCATTTTCAAAATCCCACAAATTTGTATTTTGTTTCTTCAAGTTTATGCGGATCGATCTTCAAAAGATTGCTGTCGATCAAATTCCCAGTTTTCTTATTCATTAAATACGCCATTGATCAAAGCTCGCCGAATGAGGTAAATTTTTAAGGAATATCTGTTTCTTGCATTGTTTGGCAGATGTGATGATGACAAACCTTGTGAACCAGGCTATCAAATATCAAAGGAAAAAGCAAAAAGTTTGGGAGTTAATTTTCTTCCATTGGAAGTAAGTCTTAGGGACACTATTGAAAGCCTCAAAGAGAAGGGCTTCCTCAAGCTTTGAATTCAAGTGTTTGTTTCTGCACAATCTCTCAAGAGACGGTGAACATTACATTGTTCATGTTCAGATTTCTAAATTTATCCGCAATGGCGCACGAATGTTCAGAAGTTGCTATCAACTATTGATGCCTGAATTTAAGAAAAGTTGTTTGAATATGTTTTTTCTTTCTTTGTACAAGCGATATTGGGGGAAGGAAGAATCGAACTCAGGAGTCGGGACCTTCCAGGGGTGAAAACTCTGTATCAGAGCAACATACCCCTTGTTTGAAGAAAAAGTTTACCAATTGAGCTACGTACCCTTTGGTTTTATAATAAATGGAGCACTTAGTGGGCTTGCTATCGCTAATTGAACCATATTATGCATATGTCAACAAATATCAACATTTGCCGAAGCAATTTCATGAGTGCTATCGAGGGCATTTATTGAATGTTGTCAACACAACCTGCCAAGTGCTACCGTGAATATGCCTAACAGGCATTACATCACACTTGGTAAAAAAGAAACTTGTACCAAATATTCGGAGGATCTCCGTAGGACCGTCACATGCTTCTTTCCCAGCCTTGAGTGGTCCTCGGACCACCTTCGTTCCATTGTACATCCACCATGAAAAGAATGCACATGTAATCTGTGTTTACGGATCAATCATTTAATTTATGGATGTCAATCCAATTGAGTACAAAGAAGAGAAGAGAGTTACAAGATCACAAACCAACATATGAATCATAAAATATCAAATTTTTTTATTAATTCTTAACGGTGTTCCTAGTATACACTATACACCTTTAAGATCTCTATAAACCTCGAAAGTCTCCCCTTTATATATTAGGAAAAAATATCTACCTGGAACTACCAATAATCTCCACATGAACAAACCCCGTCACGGAAATGGTGAAACCGATTCACATCTCGAACCAGAATCTCTCTATTGGCGAATTTAGAAATGAACTCTGTAACGGGGTGACAATCTTCACATAACCTTAAGTTCTTGGAAATCCTAATAGTTTCCCCTCTTTTGGAATTTATGAGTCCAAATGCAACTGCTAATTTTTCACTATGGCCTAATACTATTCGTTCCTTCTCTTCCTCATCGAGACCATACAGGACAACTTTAGTTTGCGGCTTATATCCCTGGTCTTTCATCTCTGCCGACAATTCAGCCAACAATGCATGGAGCTGCTCCATCTGTGGGTTAAACTTGTCAATGGAAATGAATGAGTATATCTTCCTTTTAACTTCAATCCAACTCCGACCTGGGACCTTTTGGAGTTCTCGAGCTTCTAAATGCTTCTTCACTCTTTTTACATCGTCCCACAACTTGGCTTCAGCATAAATATCAGCTAGAAGTACATAGTTCCCAGCATTCCTAGGCTCAAGCTCAAATAGCCTTCTACTTGCTCTCTCGCTAGCTCAACGTTTCAATGTATTCTACATGATCCAAGAAGAGCGCCCCAAACTTTAGCTCCTGGCTCAATCCGCATATTATCTATGACTTTGGCTGCTTCATCTAACCGATTGGCACGACCAAGAAGATCCACCATACAAGCATAGTGCTCAACACTGGGATATAATCCATGTTCTTTAACCATAGAATCAAACAATATTTCCCCCTCTTCAACAAGATCTGCGTGACTACAAGCCCCCAAGACACTAACAAATGAAATGTGACTCGGTGAAACTCCATGATTGATCATGTCTTCAAAAATTTGTATTGCCTTTTTCCCATATCTATGAATGCCATAACTTGAGATCAAGGAACTCCATGAAACAACATGCTTCTTATTCATCATACTGAAAACCTGTTCCCCCAAGTCAAGCTTACCGCATCTCGCATACATTGTTACAAGATAGCCCACAAATAACAATTCAATCAGTACCCAATTCAAAAAATTATCAAAACAAACAGAGAGAAATTAAAGATAATCAATTTATCAGTGGAATGAAGCAGTGACCTGGTAACAGGCAACGGGGATTTCGACAGTGGTGTGAGCCGGAGCACTGTGGATAACGATGAGGGCGTCAGCTGCATTCAGTGCCCATGGGCCGGAGAGATTACCAACCTCCTTCTTCCTCGTAGGAACCTGGAAGTGGGATGGACAATGGTTACGAGGGACAGGTAACCGCGATTATTTATCCTTAATCGTTTATGCTCATACCTGCATAACCGTTTACCCATTGGGTAATTGCCTAAACGATTATACCCATACCCATACCCGTTTATAAACAGTTAACCATACCCATAACCGCATACACATTTAACCGTAACTGTTTAATACCCATTTACCTATTTACCTTTTTTAACTCGTTTATCTTTATTTTATTTTTTACTATTTCCCCTTTTTCACCCGTCTACATTTAACAACTTGAAAATTAAAAAAAAAATTGTCATAATTTTTTTTTTTGACAATTAAACACCATTATACATTTCCGTATTTTAATTTTTTTTTAAATCCTTATATCATTTCAATAATTGAAATAATAATTTACGAACGATATTTCTAACTGTTACCAATGAATGTAATATAATATTTGCTAAGTTTTCTTGGGTTATGAAAACTGTTTAGAAGACAATATTCTTGGGTTATTTAACTCATAATGTTAATATGTAAAGTATTAACATAATAAATATAATGAGCTACATTATATTATAATTAGCTATATAAACCATGCACTATAGTCAATAGCATTGATTTAAATTTTGTCCGTTAGACAACATGGTTTGTGTTAATTTTACATATATAAACTAAATGGGTAAACGGTTACCCGTTTATAACCGCGGTTAATACCCATAATCACCCATTTAAATTTCACGGGTAAACGGTTATACCCATAACCGTTTATGTATCTCAACGGTTACCCATAACCGTAACCCATGAAGTTTAAATGGGCGGGTAACTGTTGTTATCCATAACTGCGAGTTTTTGCCTATCTCTAGTAGTATGTTTCTAAATAAAATTATATGACTAATAATTTGTACATATAAATATATCATGTAAAACCGTGATGGCTATGTCTCGGCACATAAGCATATATATGTTACCGACATAATCAATATGCACTTGTAATTAGCATAGTGTAAAAAAATAAAACAATGCATGTTGGCTAGCGCCAAACAGTGTGTGGCTTGCCGAAAAGGTTTTATGCTTGGTATGTAGGCTTGTATTAAAAAGTAGAGTAATAGAAATATAAGTTATTGAGCACATCATATAGGTTTTATGCTACAGAAATCATGTACTATAGTCAATAGCATTGATTTAAGTTTTGTTTGATAGGGAACATGATTTGTGTTAATTTTACATATATAAAATAAATAGGTAAACGGTTACCCATTTATAACTACGGTTAATACCCTTAACCGTCCATTTAAATTTCGCGGGTAAACGATTATATTCATAACCGTTTATTTATCTAAACGGTTACCCATAACCATAATTATTTAATTTAAATGAGTGGGTAACCGCGGTTACCCATAACCAATGGGTATTTGCCCATCCCTACCTGGAAGTGAAGATTCTGTAGCCAGCAATTGCTCTAGAAAACCCTAAACACATAGTTTGTAATTGTCCTTGGGATTAACGGCCCGGCAAAGACCACAGTGCGATGGAATGCCGAGCAGGGCGTGAGCCAGAGTAGCCATGACCCTTTCCCTTTCCCTTTATTGGTGACGAAGAATCAACATTGGAATTGGGATTGGAATTGGGATTGGAATTGGAATTGGGGATTTCAGAGACTACATTCAAATGGCAAGGGATTCTGTGAAGCACTTGCGACTACGTGGACTTTGGTAGTCCCAAGCTGGGTGCCCACGCTACATCTCTCACCCAATCACCGTGCATTTGAAGGTTGTCAGACTTTATTGCTGACCTGCACATAAGGTGAAGTTGGATTCAGCTGGTTCTTTGTAAAAGGGAATCTTCTACTCACCTGCTTGTCCACTAAGCCGTCTAAGTCCACTAGCTGTCCTTTCATGATTGCTTCCATTAGCCATGAATGATTGATTGTTGTCTGGCTCCTATAAAGAGCACTTGTAAATCATTTGTAATGTAACTGAATATACATTCATACTCACCTTAATTTGGTATCAAGAGCAACAAAACTCCATCGAGCACCTTAATTTGGTATCAAGAGCAACAAAACTCCATCGAGCATTTTTTTCTTTCCAATCCTCATGGCTGAATCCACCAACTCACTTCCCTTGCCCACACCTGTCACCATTAGCGCTGCTGCTCAGTTACCTCTAAAACTCACACCCACCAACTTTCCTTCCTGGTGAGCTCAATTCAATGCCCTGCTTCTTGGATATAACCTGATGGGTTACATTGATGGATCAAAACCATGTTTTGTTGCCTCATCTGCCGTGTCCTACACCTTTTGGATTTTTCAAGATCAGCTCCTACTACATGCTATCTTAGCTTCTGTCTCTGAACAGATTATATCTCTCATTTCCTCCTCTAAAACCTCCAAGGAGGCTTGGGACAAGCTCACCAAGCTCTACGCCAATAAAACACGCTTTCGGGTTCTCAACCTCAAATAGCGTCTTACGCTTATGCGTCATGATACACAACCTGTGTCAGTTTTTCTACAAGCTATCAAAGTTATCATCAATGAGCTTGCCATCATTGATTCTCCACTATCCGACGATGATGTTGTTCTACGCGTCCTCAATGGTGTTGGACCTGCCTTCAAAGAAATAGCTGTCGTTGTTCGGACTAGCGATACCTCCATCTCCTTTGAGAATCTGTATGACAAACTCATTGAACATGAAACTTTCCTCCAACGGGATGCACCACTAGCTGTTGTTACTCCTATGACTGCCCTTGTTGCTCAAGCTCCCCGCTCCTCCCAGTGTGACTTCAGGTCCACACAAGCCTCCCAACAACATTCAACGAATACCACCTACAACTCTCACCGTGCTAACAATCACAACTCCAATAATCGTTGTTCCGGTACGGGGTATCGTGGTTTCTGTCAATGGTGTGGTACTCAAGGGCATAGTGCAAAACGTTGCCCTCAACTTTCTTCCGCTCCACCTATGGTCAATCACACCACTATCCGCTCCTCAACATCATCTCCTTGGCTGCTCGACTCGGGTGCCTCTCACCATGTCACCTTTGACTCCAAGAACATCCCGGACTCCACTACCTATGATGGTCCTGATCAGATTATTATTGGAAATGGAACAAGTTTGAGTATTACACATGTTGGTTCCACATCACTCTCTTCTTCCTCTACCACCCCATTTCACTTAAATAATGTCTTGTGTGTTCCTTCCATTTCTCGTAGTATTATTTCCATTGCCAAAATTAATAGACAAAATGCAACCTCTATTGATTTTTTCCTGATTTCTTTCTTGTCAAGGATCTCAACACGGGAGCGGCACTTTTTCGAGGCCCGAATAAGGACGATACATATGAGTGGCCGTGCTTGATGCCTCAAAAACAAGTTATGAGCAGTGTGATGGACTCCTCCAATGTGTGGCACCGTCGACTCGGTCACCCCAACCATCGAACCTTCCTTCAAATCCAACGTACCTCCTCCATTCCTATGTCTTCAACTCCTTCTGTTTGCACTTCTTGTCATTGCAATAAGAGCCACAAGCTCCCGTTTGGTCATTCTACGCTTGTTAGTAAGCGTCCCCCTTGAACTAATTTATAGTGATGTATGGGGTCCTGCTCCCTATTTATCTACTGATGGTTTTTCATACTATGTTATCTTTGTGGATCATTTCACGAAATATATTTGGTTTTATCCCATGAAACACAAATCCGATGTTTTTTCAATCTTCACAACCTTTAAAGCTCTTGTAGAAAACTACTTCCACACCAAAATAATCACCTTTTACTCTGACGGAGGGGGAGAATATGTTAAACTCAAGAATTTTCTTTCCACAAATGGCATCACTCACCTCACCACTCCTTCACACACTCCCGAACACAATGGTGTTACTGAACGCCGCCACCGTCATGTTGTCGAAACAGGGTTAACACTTCTCCACCAAGCATCCTTACCCCTAACTTATTGGTCATATGCTTTCAAAATTGCTGTGTATCTTATTAATAGGATGCCCACTCATGTTCTCAATAATATCTCTCCATACAAAGCTCTCTTTGGTGATCTTCCTAACTACATTACGCTTCGTGTGTTTGGTTGCTTATGTTTCCCTTGGTTAAGACCCTACAATTCCAACAAGTTTCTTCCTCGATCTCGTCCATGTCTCTTTCTTGGTTACTCCTCTACTCAAAGTGCTTATCTATGTCTTGATCTCCCTTCCCGTCATATGTTTGTTTCCCGTCACGATCGATTTGACGAAAACACTTTTCCTTTTTCTTCTCGTGACTCCGTAGTTCCTTCCCTCAACTCCACTGCATGGTCTATTGTCACTACAGCAGCCATCTCCATTCCTGCTCACATTCCCGAGGTACCACCGGTTCCATCACACACCTCATCTTCTCAGCATGCTGACACTCAAACGTCTTCGGAGGTCTCGGAGTTGTGTCTTTCCCCTGCACCATCACCATCTGCGACTGCTCACCCCCCATCACCACATCATCTCATACCCACATATATCATTCCCTTACCCCCACCACTACCACCAAATAATTTCAACCATCACCCCATGACCACCCGAGCCAAAAACATTATCTTTAAACCTAAACAACTTTGCACTGCCACCAAATACCCACTTCATTCTCCCATTGAACCAACATGTGTTTCTCAGGTTATCAAAGATCCTCTTTGGCGTGCAACCATGTCCGACGAGTTCAATACGTTAATCCGCAATGGCACTTGGGAGCTTGTTTCTCCTCAACCTTCACAGAATCTTATGGGGTGCAAATGGGTCTTCCGCATCAAAAGACATTATGATGGCAGCATTAATAGGTACAAAGCACGCCTTGTTGCTAAAGGCTTTCACCAACGTCCTGGCGTGGATTTCTTAAACACCTTCAGTCCAATTGTCAAACCCACCACCATCCGTATTGTTCTTCATTTGGCTCTCACTCATGGTTGGCCTCTTCGTCAATTAGACGTGAATAATGTTTTTTTGCATGGATCACTCTCTAAGGATGTTTACATGGTGCAACCCCCAGGGTTCGGTGAATCTACTGTTCCAACACATGTCTGCAAACTCCACAAAGCTTTATATGGCCTCAAGCAGGCACCCCGATCATGGTACAAGGAGTTGAGCGCCTTTTTGCTCAATCAAGGATTTGTCAATGCCATCTCAGATACCTTTCTCTTTATTTTTCGTCAGGCTAATGATGTGATCTTCCTTCTAGTTTATGTTGATGATCTTGTTCTTACAGGAAATAATACCAGGCTCATCTCTACATTCATTCAAGCCTTGGCAAATCGTTTTTCTGTCAAAGATTTGGGGAACCTTCATTATTTCCTTGGGGTTGAAGTGATACCCACCACCATGGGTTTGTTTCTTTCTCAACATAAATACATCCATGATCTTCTAGCTAAAGCTAAAATGGATGGTGCTAAGGATGTGACCACACCAATGGTTACCTCTACTCCTTTGATTCTTTCTGATGGCTCTCCTCTCACTGATGCTACTACCTTTCGACAACTTGTTGGAGGTCTCCAATACCTCAGTCTTACCCGCCCTGACATCTCATTTACCGTCAATAAACTCTCACAGTTCATGCATCGACCAACTGAGTCTCATTGGCAGGCCTTGAAATGTCTCCTCCGCTATCTGAAAGGCACTATTTTTCATGGCATTCTCTTCCGCCGCACTACCTCATCTCGTCTATATGCTTTCTCAGACGCTGACTGGGCTGGTGATCGTGATGATCGTAAGTCTACCACGGGTTATGTCATTTATTTGGGTGGCAACTTAATCTCTTAGAGCTCTAGCAAACAACGTTCTGTCGCTAGATCGTCCACGGAAGCAGAATATCGCGCCATAGCCTCTACTACTGTTGAACTAGCTTGGCTTCATTCCCTTCTCCATGAGCTTGGTGTCTCCTCAATGGATAAGCCAACCATTTCCTGCGACAATATTGGGGCAACTTTTTATAGTGTCAATCCTGTTCTTCACTGTCGCATGAAGCACATTGAACTTGATTTTCAATTTGTTCGTGATCGAGTCAATCGTGGGCTTCTTCAAGTGTCACATGTTTCTACTCAGGATCAGCTTGCAGACGTCCTCACAAAAGCCCTTCCTCGTCCACGCTTCCAATTGTTACGATCCAAGATTGGTGTCTTTGACGGGACCACCGTCTTGCGAGGGCGTAAAAGGGAATCTTCTACTCACCTGCTTGTCCACTAAGCCGTCTAAGTCCACTATCTGTCCTTTCATGATTGCTTCCATTAGCTATTCATGATTGTGTCTAGTCCGCTAGCTGTCCATTAACCTTTCATGACTCATTGCTTGTCAACTAAGCCGTCTAAGTCCACTAGTTGTCCTTTCATGACTGCTTCCATTAGCCATGAATGATCGATTGTTGTCTGGCTCCTATAAAGAGCACTTGTAAATCATTTGTAATGTAACTGAATATACATTCATACTCACCTTAATTCTTTGCTTATACTGCTGTCCATAAAACAGGATGATGTCTCAGTTAGGGCTGGGCACGGGCCGGGCCGGGCCCAATTTTGGAGGAACCGGACCTTACCCGTTTTAAATAGTAACGGGCCGGGTAAAGAGATTTTGAGTTTTGGAACCGGACCTAACCCGGCCCGTTTCAAACGGGCCGATTCGGGGCGGGTCCACGGGTCCAACTTTTTTTTTTTTTTAATACATTATTTTATAAAATGGAGCTGCAGCCTGCCGCTGCACTGCAGTGCACAACAGCACATATTACACTTACACTCACAGAAATATTGAAGCACAGATTGTTGAAGCACAAATGCACATCAGCACATATTAATATGATCTCATTTTAACAATGGTTCACAAACTGATACCAGCTAATGCTTAATCCCAGATTTCGACCCCTTCCACCCAAATCATTTGAACAAAAGATTTGAAATTGGAACATAACAGAGGTCAAGATTTCAAAACCCAACAAAATCTCTAAATCTAGAAAACCTTAATTTAATTTTAAATCCTAAATCCCTAAAACATATTACCTTAACTGAAGATGACTGTTAACAGAGCTCGACTGCGCTGCAAATATGAGTCTGAGTCAGGTGGAGGAGATGATTGATTCGTCGTTTTGAGTTGTTTGACTTCGTCGTTCGTCCATTCGAGTTCGACAGAGAGAGACTGATTTCGAGAGAGTGAGTGAGAGAGATACACAGCAGCAGCGGTTTAAGATTACATTAGAAAACAAGGAGCTCCAGATCATCGACCATGATTGCATTCCCCATCCCAATTCCTTGCATGCATTCAAAAATTAAAGCCACATAAAACAAAGAAATTCGCTATAAATTGAATGAAAAAAAAACGAAGAGACGATTTCAGCTTCCCTGGATCGAGGTCTGATATGGCGGCGACGGACGGAGCTGATGATGGCAGCGGCGGACGGAGCTGATGATGGCGGCGGCAGACAAAGCTGGGACAGTGAGAGCGAGTCGGGATGAGAGATTGAGTTGGGAAAAAGGAAAAGTGAGTGACTCTGAGTATATGAGAACTGAGAAGACTGAAATGAGGATAAAACCAATTATTCTTGCTAGAAACGGGCCGGGCCGGGGGCCCGTTCCCTCTTATTTCTAGAACCGCCCCGCCCCGCTAATTTCTTGTACCCGCCCCGCCCCGCCCCGTTTTGTGTTTTGAAATTTAGGACCCGCCCCTTACCCGCCCCAAATCGCGGGTACCCGCCCCGACCCGCGGGTCCAGGACCCGTTTGCCCACCCCTAGTCTCAGTGAAGCCGTGGCCATGTTTATATCAGCACACCCTGATACCATATTGTACTGTAACTTATTGGCAGTGGTAAATGAGACTGAACTTAGTCAAACTGAACGTTTAAGGCGTGTGGTAGGTTCAATAAATATAAAAATTTGAAAAGAAAAAAAAAAGTTGTATGGTAGAACCGAAGGAGGTCATCAGAGTTGCACATTGATGATCTTCCCTTCATTGATGATTTTCAGTAAAAAATGCCGTGTGCTTCACTTCTGCTTAGTTATGCAGGATATTTTTGCAACAAGGAACACATGCGCAGCTCTCATGCTGGTTTTTTCAATTGCAAGTGGAATACTCGAGTGGTTGGCAAGGTGAGGTTCTGGCACTTTGGTTTTTTAAAGGATAATTTTACCTGCAGTATACATTTCCCTTAATGATATTGGAGGTATGAATTTTTTTTCTTATTCATACATTCATTTGAACTTAATTGTCGCTCTTTTGGAACATGAGGCTGAAAACAAACCTTGTATTATCTGAGTTACTTCCTAATACTGATTTTACACTGAACATGGATTTGAAAGCTGGTCTGATTGGATATGAAAGTTAGGTCTCATTAGATCCGAAAGTGTTGTATATGTATATATAAGACGGAAATGTAACTACTGTTGGATTTTTCTTTGATTCTTGACGCAGAATTGGTTGCTGGATGGCGATCGAGTTGGGCGAGAGAAGACATGCTCGGTTGTCGTGAACTACATGTAACAGAATTCTAAATAAAGTTATTGTGGAGTGGAGTGTATGTTGAGGATTTTGACAATTATACAATGTGCCCGTCTGTGGATGAATGTCTACAGATAAGGACGTTGAAACTGAATAAAGGATAGGACGTCCGGAGATTATCAAAACTGGATGGGGGCTGTGTGTACATTGCATATATAGAAATGGAATGGATATTCTTTAATGGAGTGTTTACCAATCGGGAGTGGAATGGGGAGAAACGGAATTGAATTCCTCCCCAAGCATTCTACAGTTTACTAGCAACTGGGGAATCAGATTTTATGTAGGGTCCAGCCAATTTCAGGAGTTCAATTCCGGATTTTCCCGGATTTGGATTCCCTCTATTGAGGTGGTAATTGAATTCCGGGTAGAGAGCTCCATCACGAATCAAAGTTTTTTACCCAAAATACCCATGTATATTTCCTAAAACAACTTCTACCTTCATCAATCACTCTCCTTTGTATTTGTTTCTCTCACAGCACATACCACCCCACCTTCGCAATCCGAAACGCAGTAGCACTGGACGACGAACGCCTGCAATTTGGAACAACGATCGACCGGGGTTTGAAACGACAGCACAACGATGAACATGATCTGGAACAACGAACGCCCAAATCCTCAAGGGAATTGCGATTTGCAGACTCAAACAGAAGAGAAGGAAAGAACTTTTATCACTCTCACCCTAAAAATTGGATTTTTTATTTTTGTTGGTGGGGTGGGTCGTGGCTTCGTAGTTCCTCCTGAGATTGGATGGTGGGGTGTGGATACTGCGTACTGGTGAAAGAAAGGGGAAAGAAAGGGTTGCAGAAAAAGAATGGGAAAGAAAGGGGGAAGAGAAAGAAGGAAGTAAATGTTATACTGCGTACTGGGGAAAGAAAGGGGAAAGGGTTGCAGAAAAAGAATGCAGAAAGAAAGGGGGAAGAGAGAAGGAAGTAAAATGTTATTTTAGTTTATTTTATGTAGGTATTTCTAATAGGATTTAGGGTGATTAAGAGTTAGAAGCAAATAAAAAATGATTCTTTCATATCAAATTTGAAGTAATTTATGCGATTAGGAAAATTTAAAAGTTATATAAAAGATAAAAAATTATTCTCTCTAGTAAAAAATTTAAAAAAATAAAAGAATAAAAGTTTTACTAAAAATAATTAGCATATAAAATAAATTAGTTAAAATAGGGGTACTTTATTAATCACATTAGTTATCATTCCGATTCATGTGAATTAATAAACAGTTTATATACATCAATGTCAATTCTACTCCGATTCCAGACAGTTTTGGTAAATAACTTCAACAGGAATCTAATTCTGATTCCATCTCATTCTAATTCCTCCTCAATCCAATTCATCTTAATCTGATTACGGATTAGTTAACACGCCTAAAGGATTCTATTCATCTTATTGACGACCGCGGTAGACATTTTGAATAATTGAAGACATCTCTATACACTAAAACCCAACCACGCTGGTACTATGGATGACCAGTGGGTGGACGAATTTGCCCCTGGATTTTTCCTCCGGTTGTTCTTCTCTTCGGTTTTTGGGGTGCAAAAATCTTTATTTTGTCCATGCTGGACGCGTGTTGGTAAAGTAAGGATGCTAAATTTACACGTGTTAGAGCAAATCCATCGGAGGACTTTTTGCCCAGCACCTAGCCGAAAAAATAGGCCAGGACCCAGTGAATTTGCTCCAGCAGACCCAATTGACGGGCACCCAGCCCATGCCAGTCCACAGGCCAGCTTAAAATCAACAGACCTTAGGATCGGCCTATCTGATGCCACGGTGACGCCAGCTTGGCGTTCGAAGGAAGTTTGAACTGGAGGCCGTCTCCCGTCGACCTCGTGAAGGCCACCGGCCGCTTCGTCTTCCTGTACTCCATCCACAGCAGCGAGTCTGTGTGCTCTTGCGTCATCCGGATCTTGTCCGGGTCCCGCTTCAGAAACCCGACGGCCACGAACACCTTGTTGAGGTGGTCCAGGTTGAGCCCCGCGATCGTGCGGTGAAGGTTGAAGCCCTGGGTGTCGAGGTCTTGGTCGGAGGTTGAGTATTGATTGGTACTGACATGGTGAGGGAAAGGAAGAAAAAAGAAAAAGAAAAAAGAAATGATAAAGAAATGACCGGAAAGGGAAAGGAAGAAAGAAGAAAAAATAAATTAAATGATAAAATATTAATTGATATGAATAAAATAATATAATATTAGATAGGCTGGGTGCCAGTGTATTTTTAGGGATGGAGATGTTTTGGTTACTGAGGTCTATTACTGTTCACTTGAGTAGATAAATGCGCTGGGTGCTGGCACAAAGTCTTCAAGTGGACTTGCTCTTAGTCATCTGAGAAAGGAAGAAAGGTGGAAAAGCAGAGCTCTTCCATTTGCTTCCACAGATTTCTCGAGCTCTCTCTCTCGTAAGCCCGGAACCCTAGCCTCCTCAAGCAAATCAGGTTTGTCTCTTGCTCTCTCTCTCTCACATAATTTTTTTTTTCAATTCGGGACTGAATTTCGATCATCGTTGGAACTCCTGCTTCCACTTCTTTTCCGCTTTTCTTTTCCTTTCGTTTATCTCTGTCGCTCTCTGTCACGATTCTCACCTTTTTCAAATTTTCAGTTTAATTTGAAAAGCTAGGGTTTCCTGAGTCTTATCTCGAGAGTATACTTTATTTGAATGTTTGATTTGAGTTGTTTGAATGTTTTATTTTACTTGAACTATAGTCTCTGTGGTTCCTTTTGCTGATCGTTGTTTCTTTCGAGCAAAGGCTGGGTGGATTTTGGGAAAATAATCTCTTATGTTCGTCTTTTTTTTTTCCGTGTGGGATTTTCAATTTCTGTCCGAATTTTTGGTTGATTTCCAGCCCAGTTTGGGGTACCTGCCTACTCCTTTATTAATTTTTTTTTAATATCACTTTAAGCACTAATTATTACAATTCTTCCATTTTTGCTGGTGAAGGTACATAGAATGGTGTGGACTATGAAGGAAGCTTGCTTTGTGTTGGAAGTATTGTTTCTTGCTATTTCCATTCTTATTTTTGCGTTATTTGAGGCTAAGCTATACATATTTCTTAATAACACCAGCAATTACGGTTTTGATTTTGGAATCACTGCTTCTGATTAAGCCTTTGTGTGGAGCAGGATGGAAAGGCTCGAGATGTTGGTGTCAATAGAAATGTGCTTTCCCCAAAGTTTCAGATGCTTTGACTCTTACTCTCCTGCTTTTCCTCAACTATTCTGCGGTGTGATTGAATTTTTGGATGGCTTTTCTGGTTTGTTCTTAACTTTATGTTTTGCTGTTTGCATTTGATTTGGTTCAATGGAGTTAATATGTAATTATGGTTTGTTAATCATGTTGTATTTGGGCCCTTGGGTTAGCATGTAGTTTTTTCTTCAAACATATGAAGAATTGTTAATTTCCTCTTCCACCCTTGGAAAATCAACATGCACAGACATTTATTGGGAACCGGAAGACCATGGGGGTAGCTACCTGCAATTTTGAGTCTCAATCAAAATTACAAACAAATAAATGAAGAAACAAGAGAAATAGAGACAAGGAAGATTGTAATCAACAGCTGTGGGGCACAATTGTTCCTGATACCTTGAAAAGAATGAAAAACAGAACTCAAAGTGTTTGGATATAAAGAAATTAAGAAGTGAGACAGATGTTAACGTAATGAAAATAATTCCACCGCTTCCCTTCTCTAACTTGATGACCATCCTTTTGGAACAATGTTTGATGAGTTTCTTATTTTGAATGTGTTTGCCTTACCATTGGAAATTGTTGGAGCTCCTTTTGTTCCTTATCTTGCTCACAAGCGTATTGATACGTAAATGTATTTTAGAATATGTGTACTGATAGGATATATGCATTACACATGTTTTGTTTGTTAGTGTTTTAAAGCATTATTAGATAGCATGTTGCATATTCTTTTAACACTTACTTGATTATTGCAAATTTGTGAATCTTATACCATAGCAAATCTTATGAATTCTCTTTTTCCAGTGTATCCAATGTTTGGCAGAGAGTGTGCTTCGGTGTATCATTTTGATAGCGTTTGGTGATCTTCAGGTATGAAATCCTAACATGAGTTGGAATGTTAACGTTTTCAATTTAAATTTGTGTACTAAATTAAAGTCATTGTACTACAACAGTGATCAATGTAGAAGAAAAAGGTTGGCTTCTTCCAGTGACCAAAATTTGTTGTCAAATTGATAGTTAGCTTTCATATATCGATTTGTACAATTCAAACTGTTACGTAGATGCGAATATAAATCTTGATTTGTTTTGGGTTAATTATATTCTTCATATATCTCCATAACGGGGCAATGGTCCTCCACCCATTATGTGGTCCCATTATACAGCTTACTTTAATGGGAAAATAGCACTTAATTAGTTTCTAATCAAAATGGATTAGTTCTGGAAGTATGAAAGAAACGTATAGTTCAATGTGACAGCATTTTAGTGCTTTGAGTGATTCAGTAGAGTTCAATGTGACAACATTTCAATGCTTGAGTGATTCAATGTTTAAATTTAATCTTTCAAGCAGTATCTGAATTTATGAGTGCTTGAGTCTTTTTATATTTGAGTTTGATCTTTTAAATTGTACCTAAATTGCATTCTTATCATTTTTTTTCATAGCTCTTCCTTTTTATTCTTCCCTACTATATTAATTGAGTGTCTTAGAATTGTCTTATTTTTTTCACTGCAAGTTTGTAAAAATTTGCATATTACCAATCTGTATATTTTGTCGGCAGATTTACAAGACAATGAGCATCGTACCAATATGTGAATTAAAGCCTCTTAGAAATGATATGGAGATCAAAGTAAGAATTTGCCGGATGTGGAGACCCAAAATGTTTGGACATCAGAACCAATTCAATGGCTAACAATGTGTACTGGTTGATGAACTGGTAAGAAAACCATTTTGTTTAAATGTAATATAGTTAAAACTATAATTTGAAAAACAAAGACAAAGCTATAATTAACTCTATAATTTTTATAATTCACAATGATGCCATTGAAGCATCGGTCTTAGAAGCAGACTATGAGATAGTAGCTCCAAAGATACAAGTTGGTTGTATATATGATATCACACGGTTGCACAGTCGTTCCAGTAAACAAACGTTCAAGGTCGTACCACACACTGCACAACTTTATCAGCATTCAACATTTATGATTGTGAACTATCTTTGTATGTTTATTGTGACAGCCCGTCCCGGATTATCGTTCTCGAAAATGTGAAGTTACTAAATTGCCCTTGAGCTTTAGTGGGTGTGTGGGTGTATTGGACAAAGGGATTGAACCAATACAAAATTTTCCCCAAGTTTTGGGGACCCAATAGGAAGTAAGAAACTAATTGGGTTTGATTGGTGGCTTTTGGACCACACAAAAACACCCAAAAAGTCCTCTCTCTTCTCCCCCGTACTTTTCTCGGTTTCATTCTCTCTCTCTCTCTCCTTCGAACACGTATGGATGAACACAAAACCTTCCATTTCTTCACAGATCAAAGGTAAAGAGGTATTATTCTTGTTCCCCTTAAACTCCTGAGTTCATTGGTACAAGTTTTAGAGCGTGAGACCTTCGAAAACCCCGAGAACCCTAACCCCAGTTTTTATGCACTGTTTATGTGCACGTAAAATGTTGATTTTTAGGAGATTTCAAGCTTATAGGAAGCTTACGGAGGTCCTAAGGAAGCTCGGAGTAGTTCGTTTGAAGATTTTGGACATCGGGATCGTGAGTTTCAAGCTTGGTCGGTTTCCCTCGAAATTTCACGGCGAGATCCCGTGAGATTTAGATCCCAAAACAGGTATAACGTTGTTCTACTCATCTCCAGCTTCCCTTTGGTGTAAATTTCATGGAATTTTGGTTAAAATCGAAGAAGTTAGTGTCGAAAATAGGATTTTCCCGGTTTTCCGGTAACCGAAGACTTGCCGGAGTCCCAAGGTAGGAGATGACGGAATATTCCAACGCCGTCAGTCATCTTTAACAGTTACCATTAGGACTTAACGGAATATTCCTTGGTATATACCTGACAGCCTTAACTCAGTGTGACTGTCACGTGGCCACTCGTGGGGGTGCGTAGGTCCGTGCATTCGTCGGCGCATGAGACGTCAGAAAAATATTCTAAAAATATGGGAATGATCCTAAGGTTGTGTGGGTCACTGTGGTATATTCATATACCCAAATTGAGCAATATATGAGAAGTTATTAGCAAGAGTTGGTTATGTGCTATTAATTAACGTTTATACAGTTACTTCTCATATAGACGAAACTTATCCGGAGGACGAGCGTAACCAGGCTAGACATGGGGTTACGACCCGGCTACATACCAGTGAGTGGGTGGTTATTTTCAGTATATATATATATATATACTTGACGTTTTTTCCAGAAAACGTATTTAAAGGATTGTGATTTAAATGCCATGTTATGCCTACATTTTATTTTAAGCATATGCATTGTCATAATTATGCATATTGTTGCATGGTGCTGCAGAGGCCCAGGTAATCTACCGGTGAGTATATTTATGCTGGTAATGGTTATGAGATATGATGTTGATGATGATGAGATATATTATAGCTCATAATTCGCACAGCCTCACGTGATTGTAACACTATAGCGTATTGTTATACACCCAGCCTGTTGTATAGACCATTATAAGTGGGTTCGACTTGTGTGCAGATATGTATATACATGATGAGATATGAGATTGAGATACGTATATACATGATAAGATATGTGATTGAGATGAGCTCTAGATTCTGTCGGACAGACCACATGAAATGGTTTCGACTCATGTACAAATGATTTATATTGAATTGCATCACTTGGCTTACGTTTATTATATTGTGATATTGGGCATGTGGATTTGGATATATTGAGCATGGTTTTGAGATATGTACATATGTATACTATTTTCTGGGAAATTATACAGGTTTTACCGTGAGGGGTTAGCGTTTTAATAATGAGTTAACTTTGTTTTACTAAGTCACTCAACCTTGTTTTGCACCTCTCCAGGTTCTAGGTAGCAGTACTTTGGTGGTCATGAGGAATCCAACGGTGTTCTGACAGAATTCACAAAAGTAGGATTCACATTCGGGTGTTATATCTTAGTAATTGTCCTAATTGATTGCAACGAGACGTTCTTATTGCTCTGAATGTGTATTTATACACTTAGACTCGCACTAGCATTCCTTCTTAGCTAGAATTGCTAGTGATTTGGTTTTTATTCATTCGTATTTCTATGTATCTTTTTAGCTTCCTTACTGTGCAAAGAGTTACGTCACTCTTACGTGACGGCCAGCACGCCCTCCTTCGAGACGGGGTGTGTCATTTATCAATTTATTTTTTATGGTTTTCAGTTTCCTAAATGAAGTTTGACATGTATGAAATTTGACAATTTATCTTCCTTTGCATTCTTGCATTTGAATTGCAAGTTAGTTTATGCTAAATGTTGTTTAATAATTTAGAGAGAAGGTTTCAATTGATTGTCATGCAATGCAGCTGCAAATTTGATGATTTAGAATTAGCTTATCCATCTTCGATATGATTTCTAATCCCGCAACAACGCGCAAGCAGCAATTTCTAGTTATCTCTATACTAAAACCCGATGGGAAAACCAATGTTCATTAACAGTGCCCACCCGGTTTTGCCCCTGATCTAACCCCACTTTTTTGGCATTTTGAAGATGCTACATGAAATGTCGTTTTTGCCCCTTTCCTTTATCTTTTTTTTACCCGCGTGTTGCTCGGCTTTGCCTTTTCTACTTATGACCACGTGTCGATCATCAAATTGACCGTGGCTTTGTCTCTTCTCTCTTATTTTTGCTGATACCTTTCGCTTTCAGTTCATTTCACTTTACTTCAGAACCTTGGTTTAAGCTGGATGTGCGTTTTTCTTCGTTTCAAATTTGCTTAGTTAGCTTTGTTTGCCGTTTCTTTCGTTTTGTTTATGCTTTTTGTTTTCGTTTTGTCTTTTGTTTTTCTTCTTGGTTTCTGCTGTTGCAGGACTTCAGTTTGTGCGATCGATTTTCAGCTTTTGTTTTTCAACGCCTTTGTTTTCGCTTTCCAATTTTTAATTCAGGACAGGGATCTTTCGATTTGTTCTTTTTATTTTACTTACACTCTTGATAGGCTATGACTTTGTGTTTTTTGATGGTTGTTTTTGCAGTGGTTGAACGGCTGTCTGATCGCCATTTGGAGGACCGTGTAGTCGCAATTTCCGCTATCCCCGATTGGGTTCTTTGTCAGGTATTAGTTTTTTGTGTGATGTTTTTATTTTCCGAACTGAAATGGCCATATGATTATTTGTTTTGGTTATTTGAATTTGTAGGGTTGTTTTTTGATTATTTCATGCCATTTGTTGCTTCATTATTTTATTACTAAGCATTCCTATTTTGGGGTATTTCTGTTTTATCGGAGATAGACTGTTTTTTTTAAGTGAAAGTTTTAATCGCTCAGATTTTTAGTTAGGCTATGTTTTGGGTTTTGGCAGATTTGTAGCCTGTTTATGCATGTGGTTTTTATCCTGGACTTCGAAGAAAATGGGATTGAGAGTGAGGAAAAAACAACACAGAAAGCATGGAATAAAGAATTGGGATCAGGGATATGGAAACAGAGAAAAAGAATATGATAGATGAATAGGTTCACTTCGTTTATGTTTGTGTGATGAGAATGTGGTTCAGTTAAGCAGTGGTCATGCTGTGTTTTCTTTTAGCAATCTCATTCTTTTAATCAGTTACGCTTTTAAACAAACTGTTATAGGTCTATAGTTTTGAAAGTGTAATTGTTACATCATCGTTCAGCCTTTTGAAATTTCTTTCTGCATTATTTGTCAAGTCACAAACCTTAAATCTTATTTCAGCAGTTTAAAATGGAAGATCGAGGTCCAACTCCTCTTGATCGATTGGTCCCATATGAAAAAATAGGAAAAATTGAAGTTCGTATCGGCAGAATATGGAGACCAAGATTTTCAGGCATGACTAAAAAATATGCAGGTCTACACTGTGTATTAGTTGATGAAAAGGTAAGTAATCAATCTTTAATAATACTGTTTGATAAGCTCTTCACAACACGTGTTAAGAATTTTGTATTTGTTCTAATACACATCACATGACATTTTTACTCTCTGGGATAAACACAATCTCCAATTCATTTCAAATCTCTGTATTCTTTTATTTTCTATCGGAAAATTGCATATTAGTTATCATCCTGGCTCTGTGATAAAGAAATTTTTTTTGGGTGCATATGCATTGTCTTTAACATGTTAATTACACTAATATATGCACTCTCGATGTTTGCTATCCATCTTATTCTCTAATATTTGTGATTTACATTTATTTTCATATTATTTCAAGTATTAAATATATCAACTCTCATGTTAAGTCTTTGTGACATGTAATTATTTTATGGGTATCCATTGCCTTTAAACTATTAATTATAATGATAACTTGGCTTTCAGTATTTAGTATTCATCTTAGTCTATAATGTTTGTCATTTGCAAATGTTTTCATATTATTTTAAGTTTCAAATTCAGTGTTATTTACCTATTCATGGTATCTTTGACAATTTCTTTTTCTTCCTTTCTCAATGTTTGGTTATCAAGGAACAAGCGATATAAGCGTCTTTTGACGAAATGGACTATGATATAATAGTCCCAAAAATTGAAGCAGGTGCTTGCTACGAGATTATGAATTTTTGTACCAACAAAATGAGAGGCCAGTATCGAGTAGTCCCACATGACACCCATGTCGTGTTAACTGCCAAAACAGTTTTTAACAAGTTGGCAAGTGTGTTTCCGCCTATTCCGCGTCATAGATTTTTTTTTTGCAAGATTATAATAGATTGTATCCTAGGCTGAACAAAACTGATATCCTAACAGGTAATAAATATGTACGCATGTATATATAGCTGTGTGTTACAATGCATTGATACATGTTTTATGAAACATTTTGTCCTCACCTAATTATGTTTTGGTTTTCTTTCTTTTTTCAAATTTGCAGATGTTATTGGTCATGTGGTTGGAGTCCAACATTTGGAGCCCGTAAAAGTGAACCAAAGAATTGATCACAAGTGTGATGTGGTTATTCAAAATATCAGGTTATTTCCTCTGCATAGCACACTTTTTAATTGTTTTTTGTATCAATATTGTGTATATCGTCGATATCCAAACTGTTGTTTTGGCTTCTTATCACATTAGGCAATCATATACTTTTCTTAAAAAAAAAAAAAAAAATCTATTTTGGATAAAAAAGTTTGTCACATTTTTATCACTTTTTCATTATCTTTTTTTTTATCATTTTATTTGGCAGAAAAGACGAAGCTAAGATTACATTGTGGTTAGACGTTGCACACAGCTTTACTTCTTTATCGTTTGATTCACTACTTGAAGCAAGAATTATTTTTTTTACGTGCTTGAAAGTCAAGCTATTTGAAGGTATATATTTCAATCAAGAAATCATTTTTTTGCTATTCTTTCTTCCAGATGTTTACATGCCTGATTAGTTTTCAAAGTTTGTTTTCCTGTTTTTCCTAGACAGTGTTAGATGGTTTTATTGAGTTTTCAACTATTTTTAAAAGTAAGTGCAACTATTATGCGAGTTTATAACATAAATATTTTGATCTGTGAAAGTAAAAATTGTTATGTTGTCATGTAGTCTTTGAACAACATAGTGTTCATACATATGCTTTGTTTGATGTCTTTTAATTTTGTTCTTAAAAAATCAGTGTAGGTTTGGATTAGTCATTTTTACGTAACTGCTTACAATGTCAACTGATACGTCTTTTTTCCTTTTTTATATTTTCATTTTTGTTTTTTGTCTTCTTTTTTCTTATTTTTTCCTTTTTTTAATACAAAAAGCATCATCCTCAACAGCACCGGTGCAACACTTTTCTTTGTTGATCCAGAAATTCCAGAATTAAACTCATATAAATCAGTGTAAGTTCATTCATTATCACACAATCAAAATCATAACACACCTACAATTATTAAAAGAAAAATAGCTATTCTTTTCTCAAAAATTGTTGCAGGTTTTCTGGCTTGCCTCACCCTGTTACAATACTCCCTCTAATCAGGCAAGAGAAACTGAAGCTTTACAGACTGGAAAAATGGTCACAATTGAAGAGTTGGGCTACTTAGACCCAGATTTATATAAGGTATACAACATGCTTTTATTTTATCATATTAAATCAAAATAATCTTATTCAATTTTTACTTCTTTTACATAAGCTTTCTATTTCATGATTATTAACTATCTAAACATCTTTCTGGATATTTAACAGGATAATACATTTTTGTGCAAGGCATCAATTAAGCGATTTAACACGTCATATGAATGGTGGTATGCTGCTTGCCCTACATGTGCCAAACAAATGTACAAGGACCCAACAATTGGTCAACTGATGTGCCAAAAACATACAAATCAAATGCCAACTCCTTGGTAATGAGTTAAACACTATATTTCGCGTTTGTCAATTGATCGTTGTCTCATATCCTTAAATTGAAACTTATCCTTTATTATGTTTTTAATTACATATTTTCAATTAATAGTTCATTGATCATGTAACAAAATTACAAGCCATAAATTTAATTAAATTTGAAATCAAACTTTGCATACCTATCCTTGTATTTTTCATATGATTAGTATTAACATTAAACCATACAACAACAACAACAACAACAAAGCTTTTTCCCACTAAGTGGGGTCGGCTATATGAATCCTAGAACGCCATTGCGTTTGGTTTTGTGTCATGTCCTCCGTTAGATCCAAGTACTCTAAGCCTTTTCTTAGAGTCTCTTCCAAAGTTTTCCTAGGTCTTCCTCTACCCCTTCAGCCCTGAACCTCTGTCCCGTAGTCACATCTTCGAACCGGAACGTCAGTCGGCCTTCTTTGCACATGTCCAAATCACCGGAACCGATTTTCTCTCATCTTTCCTTCAATTTCGTCTACTCCTACTTTACCTCGGATATCCTCATTCTCAATCTTATCATTTCTCGTGTGCTCACACATCCCACGAAGCATCCTCATCTCCGCTACACCTATTTTGTGTACGTGTTGATGTTTCACCGCCCAACATTCTGTGTCATACAACATCGCTAGCCTTATTGCCGTCCTATAAAATTTTCCCTTGAGCTTCAGTGGCCTACGACGGTCACACAACACGTCGGATGCACTCTTACACTTCATCCATCCAGCTCGTATTCTATGGTTGAGATCTCCATCTAATTCTCCGTTCTCTTGCAAGATAGATCCTAGGTAGCGAAAACGGTCGCTTTTGTGATCTTCGCTAGATTGCTCCGGTCATTAGTGTGGATAAGTATATAAATGGATAGAGATAGGAAAGCAAACACAAGATGTACGTGGTTCACCCAGATTGGCTACGTCCACGGAATAGAAGAGTTCTCATTAATTGTGAAGGGTTTACACAAGTACATAGGTTCAAGCTCTCCTTTAGTGAGTACCAGTGAATGATTTAGTACAAATGACATTAGAGTACAAATGACATTAGGAAATATTGTGGGGAGAATGATCTCGTAATCACGAAACTTCTAAGTATCGGAGTGTGGTATCATCTTGACTTGCCTTATCTGTCTCATAGGTAGATGTGGCAGCTTCTCTGGAAGTACTCTTCCTCCATCCAGGGGTGGTATCTTTAACTGGTGGAGATGCACAAGGTAATGTATCAATTTCACTTGAAGCTTACTTGTAGTTTCAGGCTTGGTCCAGCGCGATACAAACCATGTAGTAGGAGTCCCCCAAGTCGCCGAGCTAGGGGATCTGCTGAAAGAGGTGACAGACAAGGTAAGCAATCAGAGCTCCGGCTGATTGTTCACCTTCTCCCCATCTTGCAGCAGCATGAATGATAAAGAGAAGAAAAATGAGAAGAGATGATATGGGATACTTTTGCTTTTGAAGAAGTAACTTTCCACATGCTTATTCTTGAACTGAGCTGGAGGGTTTTCTGGTTTCCTCCAGAGTATAAGGTCGACTGAAGAATTTGAGGGTCAAAACAAGTCCATCAAATCTAGAGTACGTTCGACCCTGCTGATATGGGATACTTTTGCTTTTGACAGAGTAATGGATGTATCGGCACGTATGCTGTTACGCTTGTCTCCACATGCTTCCTTGTATCCTTCGCACTTGCCCTATCTGTTCCTCAAGCAGATGCGGTATCTTCCCTGGAAACATAAGATGTTGAAGATGAGTACTCGAGAGCAATGCCAGGTAAGTAATCAGGTAAGGGGTTCCAGGCAGTCAGTTCCTGGCTGGGAGCTTGATTTCAAGTGCTGAATGATTGCTCTCTTTCTCCTTGTCTTGCAGGTAAAAACAAGGCCAAAGGAAAAGACAGGGAAAAAGCATGATATGGGATACTCTTGCTTTTAACCCTGATGATATGAGATATTCTTGCTCTAGTATAGCTTGTTTGCAGAGGTATTATCGGGGGGAAAGAAAGCTGAATATTTGGAAAGGTTTCGTTGGGAGTGCCCTCTCAGATATGAGGAAGGGTTGAGCATTTTTGCAGGTCTGCCTGTCCGTTGGGGATGGAGGTCGACATATATAGGAGTCTCCCTAACAAGTAGTAATGCTATTCCTTTACCCTGCTTGGTCATAGCACGGTAGTGGGAGCTGCCAACTTCACATGTTTTAACTCTGTCAGAGCACTTTGAAAAAGTGGTATGTGGTATCTGGCTCTCGAGATTCGGAGAACGATGCTTCTTCGATTTTTGAGAAAGCAATCATGCTGGGGGTCTGGCTCTCGAGATTCGGGGAGCAGTGTCTCTTCGATTTTTGAGAAAGTAATCATGTTGGGAGTCTGGCTCTCGAGATTCGGAGGGCGGTGCCTCTTCGATTTTGGAGTAAGCAATCTTGTTGGGAGTGTTTTCTCGGATGTGAGTAAAGGTTGGGCATGTTTGCTAGTCTACCTTGCCACGAAGCACGGAGGTTGACACACAAGGACTTTCCAATTATCCAGCAGTGGTACTGTTCCTTTACCTTTGTGGGTAATAATATGGTAGCTAGACCTTCAAAATTTATGTGTCTAAACTTTGTTAGTGCTGTTTCTTTGCTATTCTTTTACCTTTCTTGGTCAGAGTGATGTAGTGGGAGCTGCAAGCTTCACGTGCTCAACTTTGGCAGAGACTTTGGCAAAGTTATATGTGGTACCCATGAGCTATTGTTGCGTGTGGGAAGTGGGTGATTGAACAGTAAGATTCATGTGCTTTCTACTTCACCAGAAGTCTTCGACAAAATGCCCATAATTTCCGCAAAGCTGAGTGTGCGTGTGACAGGTTCTGACAAAGCTAGAAAAGTAGGTGCCTCTTCGATTTCTGAGATCGGCCCTCGTGGTCTCTGAGCAGCCCAGCTTTTGAGAAAGCGAGCGCCTCTTCGATTGATTCGGAGAACGATGCCTCTTCGATTTTTGAGAAAGCAATCATGCTGGGGGTCTGGCTCTCGAGATTCGGGGAGCAGTGTCTTTTCGATTTTTGAGAAAGTAATCATGTTGGGAATCTGGCTCTCGAGATTCGGAGGGCGGTGCCTCTTCGATTTTGGAGCAAGCAATCTTGGTGGGAGTGTTTTCTCGAATGTGAGTAAAGGTTGGGCATGTTTGCTAGTCTACCTTGCCACGAAGCACAGAGGTTGACACACAGGGACTTTCCAATTATCCAGCAATGGTACTGTTCCTTTACCCTCTCTTCGATTTTTGAGAAAGTAGTCATGTTGGGAGTCTGGCTCTCGAGATTCGGAGGACGGTGCCTCTTCGATTTTGGAGCAAGCAATCTTATTGGGAGTGTTTTCTCGAATGTGAGTAAAGGTTGGGCATGTTTGCTAGTCTACCTTGCCACGAGGCACAGAGGTTGACACACAAGGACTTTCCAATTATCCAGCAGTGGTACTGTTCCTTTACCCTTGTGGGTAATAATATGGTAGCTAAACCTTCAAAATTTATGGGTCTAAACTTTGTTAGTGCTGTTTCTTTGCTATTCTTTTACCCTTCTTGGTCAGAGCGATGTAGTGGGAGCTGCAAGCTTCACGTGCTCAACTTTGGCAGAGAACTTTGGCAAAGTTATCTGTGGTACCCATGAGCTATTGTTGCGTGTGGGAAGTGGGTGATTGGACAGTAAGATTCATGTGTTTTCTACTTCCCCAGAAATCTTCGACAGAATACCCATAATTTTCGCAAAGCTGAGTGTGCGTGTGACAGGTGCTGACAAGGCTGGAAAAGTAGGTGCCTCTTCGATTTCTGAGATCGGCCCTCGTGGTCTCTGAGGAGCCCAGCTTTTGAGAAAGCGAGCGCCTCTTCGATTTCTAAGATCGGCTTTCGTGGTCTTTTGAGCAGCCCAACTTTTGAGAAAGCAAACACCTCTTCGATTTATGAGATCAACCCTCGTGGTCTCTAAGCAGCCCAGCTTTTGAGAAAGCAAACGCCTCTTCGATTTCTGAGCAGGCGCCTCTTCGATGTCTGAAGCCCCGTCGAGTGCAGCTTTTTATAGGGGCTGGCATTAAGTTCAAAAGCACACTTGAATCTCCACCAGTAGAAGCTCCATTCTTACACTTCTAAGATCTTGATTTGTCCGACCTCTTCTCTCTTCAACACCTTTGAAAATGTCTGGCCCCTCCGACCGTCGTTTTGACTTGAACCTTGTTGAAGAGGCAGCCCCGCCTTCTCCAGACAACATATGGCGCCCATCCTTCGTTTCCCCTACTGGTCCTCTTACCGTTGGGGATTCCGTGATGAAGAATGATATGACCGCTGCGGTGGTGGCCAGGAACCTTCTCACTCCCAAAGATAACAGACTACTTTCCAAACGGTCTGATGAGTTAGCTGTTAAGGATTCGCTGGCTCTCAGTGTTCAGTGTGCAGGTTCTGTGTCTAATATGGCCCAACGCCTATTTGCTCGAACCCGCCAAGTTGAATCATTGGCGGCCGAAGTAATGAGTCTCAAACAGGAGATTGGAGGGCTCAAGCATGAGAATAAACAGTTGCACCGGCTCGCACATGACTATACTACAAACATGAAGAGGAAGCTTGACCAGATGAAGGAAACTGATGGTCAGGTTTTACTTGATCATCAGAGATTTGTGGGTTTGTTCCAGAGGCATTTATTGCCTTCGTCTTCTGGGGCTGTACCGCGTAATGAAGCTCCAAATGATCAACCTCTGATGCCTCCTCCTTCTAGGGTTCTGTCCAGTACTGAGGCTCCGAATGATCCCCCTCCGATGCCTTCTCTTTCTGGGGCTCTACCGACTGCTGAGACTTCTCCTAAGCAACCTTTGTGAAGGCTCCATCTTGTTTTTTTATTTTGACTCATGTATATGTACATATTTGTAGCTTATCGGGGATATCAATAAATAAGCTTTCCTTCATTTCAACGTATTGTGTTAAATACACCAAAGCCTTCTTCGCTAAGTTCTTTGAATTTTCTTTTGTTGAAGCTTTCTGAGTGGAGCATGTAGGTTGGGGTAGTGTTCCCTTAATTTTCCGAGTGAGGAAAACTTCTCGGTTAGAGACTTGGAAAATCCAAGTCACTGAGTGGGATCGGCTATATGAATCTTAGAACGCCATTGTGCTCGGTCCTGTGTCATGTCATTCGTTAGATCCAAGTACTCTAAGTCTTTTCTTAAAGTCTCTTCCAAAGTTTTCCTAGGTCTTCCTCTACCCCTTCGGCCCTGAACCTCTGTCCCATAGTCGCATCTTCTAATCGGAGCGTCAGTAGGCCTTCTTTGCACATGTCCAAACCACCGTAACCGATTTTCTCTCATCTTTCCTTCAATTTCGGCTACTCCTACTTTACCCCGGATATCCTCATTCCTAATCTTATCCTTTCTCGTGTGCCCACACATCCAACGAAGCATCCTCATCTCCGCTACACCCATTTTGTGTACGTGTTGATGCTTCACCGCCCAACATTCTGTGTCATACAGCATCCCCGGCCTTATTGCCGTCCTATAAAATTTTTCCTTGAGCTTCAGTGGCATACGGCGGTCACACAACACGCCAGATGCACTCTTCCACTTCATCCATCCAGCTTGTATTCTATGGTTGAGATCTCCATCTAATTCTCCGTTCTTTTGCAAGATAGATCCTAGGTAACGAAAACGGTCGCTCTTTGGTATTTCTTGATCTCCGATCCTCACCCCTAACTCGTTTTGGCCTCCATTTGCACTGAACTTGCACTCCATATATTCTGTCTTTGATCGGCTTAGGCGAAGACCTTTAGATTCCAACACTTCTCTCCAAAGGTTAAGCTTTGCATTTACCCCCTCCTGAGTTTCATCTATCAACACTATATCGTCTGCGAAAAGCATACACCAAGGAATATCATCTTGAACATGTCCTGTTAACTCATCAATTACCAACGCAAAAAGGTAAGGACTTAAGGATGAGCCTTGATGTAATCCTACAGTTATGGGAAAGCTTTCGGTTTGTCCTTCATGAGTTCTTACGGCAGTCTTTGCTCCTTCATACATATCCTTTATAGCTTGGATATATGCTACTCGTACTTCTTTCTTCTCTAAAATCCTCCAAAGAATGTCTCTTGGGACCCTATCATACGCTTTTTTCAAATCTATAAAGACCATGTGTAAATCCTTTTTCCCATCTTTATATCTTCCATCAATCTTCGTAAGAGATAGATTGCCTCCATGGTTGAGCGCCCTAGCATGAACCCGAATTGGTTGTCCCTCTCTTGCCTCAATCTATGCTCAATGACTCTCTCCCAGAGCTTCATTGTATGACTCATTAACTTAATACCCCTATAGTTCATGCAATTTTGTATGTCGCCCTTATTCTTGTAGATAGGCACCAAAGTGCTCGTTCGCCACTCATTTGGAAAGTAATTAATGTTTTTTCTTGTAGACTTATTACACTATCTATCCTCTGTAATTAATGTTTTTTCTATTTGAATAAAGGTACAAAGTGTTCTTGGTCTTTGAAGACGAAACAAATGAGATCAATGCTCTCATTATCGGCAAATTAGGCGAAAAGGTCTTTGCATGCCATGCAAAGATTTGGTTTACAATCAAAGATCAACATATCATAAGCAATTGCCAAGTGAGTTTCTCAGACTTATAGGCCAAAGGAAAAAAATTTCACCTCCGGTTTCGAAGCCGACGAAATTTGTTGAATTCAATTGATCTCCTTATCTACAATGTTATCGAAGACACAATGATCCAACCAACAACACCACAGTCTAATATGAAAGAAATTACAGTGTCTTCGACAACAGTTTCGTCGTCCACTACACCAGCTAAAAAACCAAAGAAACGCACAAGAGGAAAAGAGATTCAATGAGGAGAGCCTTTTTTTACAGAGGCTGAAAACAGGTTATATTCTGCATCACAACATTTTTTTTCTCATTCTCAAATTATTTTCAATCTGATCTAACTCAATTTTTCCAATCTCTTTAATATCTTTGGCACGGTGAGATAGAGGAAGTCTTTGAAGCAGATGTGCAGGATTTTCATCAGGTTCCAATCAAATTGTTGAAAAAAAACATATTCCCAACAAGCATGAAAAAAGACCCTCCTCTATCGAAAAAAAAACTAGGTAACTTTGCTCCATTCCTATTTTTTATATGATGTAACCATAGTTGCACACACACTTGATTACAGCTTAGTTAGCATTTACATCTTTTTTTTGTCCATTTGCACATCTTTTATTTGCAGTTACTGCCAGAAGGAACAAATTTTTGCTGCTATAGAAAAGAGTCTGATCATCTTTTGTTAAAACAACAATGCTTCTCCATATTTTTTGCATGTAAATAGGCCACTATAACATTGATACCCCTATTTTTTGTGCATATGAACAATCTGACGTTTTCAAATCTTTCACCTGTAACCATAGTCTGAAATATCGATAATATCGACGAAATATCGATAATATCGACGAAATATCGAGGATATTTCGGTATTTTCGAATCACGGATATTTCGGAACATATCCATGTACATATCATACAAATATCGACAATATCGACGATAATATCGGAAAATATCGATATCGATAATTTCGCACACACTTCAGTAATATTTTGTCAAAATATTGGTGTAATATCGTTAAAATATCGAAAATATCAATGTAAGGAAAAAAAAGAAAAAAAGGGCAAAAAGGGAGGAAAAAAAAACACAAAGAGGATTTGAACCCCTCCCATTTTACTTCTCCAACACCTTAATCATGATATATCACTTATGTTTTAGTGATAATATGCTAAAATATTTATATTTATATGAGTGGCATGTCTGCTTCTACTTGAAATATATATAATTTCATCATAAACTATAAAATCGAATGCATATATATCATGAAGTATTGGAACATAATGAAAACATGTGAAATAAGGATATAATGTTTGTTCATTCAAGTATGCAACAAGTTTCTTACGATTTATTGAAAAAAAACAAAATGCAAAATGAAAGTTATGTATTTTCTGTCTAAGTGAGTTGCAACCTAGGCGGGTGCCTAGGTGGTCTAGGCGGTGGGCTAGGGCCTAGGCATTAATCGGGGCGGTGAGCTGGGGCCTAGGGCCTAGGCGGAGATTTTTAGAACAGTGATTATAAATAGATACTTATTCATATATAATATATTTACTTAAATCTGCCTAGTCCGCCGTCCGATTGACGCTTAGCGTCTTTTTTAACCTTGAATAAAATGGGTGGATGAATAAATTGACATGAAGACCGATGAAATTGTATCAACATTATAAAATATTGTGCAAAAAACATGAGGTGATAAAGAGACCGTAGAGAATCCTCTTTAGCATTTCTCGTCCAATTATATACAATAGGTGGATGAATATTTGACAAAGAAAAAATAGGTGGATGAATAAATTGGGATTGGAGTCTTTGTTTTTATTTTATGCATGGAATGATGATGTATTGAGTTGTTGGATGAAAGCGCAATTAAGTCAAAATATATTGGCAATGCCGTGTATTTGGATTTGGTCAATTTATATTTAAAAAAAATTATCATACCACATATTTGTATCATCTTTTTAATAGATCTATACGTGTTGGTGAGATCTATATTTATTAGAAAGATGATATAAATGATAGTACAAATATATAGTAAGTGTAACTCTTATACTGACATTTAGTTTTCGCCCGATGTTCCAGATACACTAAAAAATCTCTCGAAGAGCTGTGTCGCAATTTTGAGTCGCCTCTGGTTTCAAAAATTATCACGATTGGCCCTGTGTGTGGGGCCTGAAGAGTGGGAGAGGGATTGTGGTGGATAGCTGGATTTAGGATTTGGATCCCATCATGATCCTTTTTGTGAGGATCCCAGGAATTCTCACATTCTTTCCGTTTTGTGATCCTCACATCATATCTGTTCATTGTACATCGTGCAGCCATAAATCATTTTGAATTTTATATGTAAAATTAAATACAAATAGCACCTAATGAAAGCTAATCACAATATGCATGATGAACAGATAAAATGTGAAAATTCCTAAGACTCGTCCCTGAATTTATGGTGTGGCTAGGTTGCATGGGAACACAAAACTAGAGAAAAAGAAAGGGAAAGAGAACCAACGGCTGTAATTTGGTTTGATGAGATGAGAATTTGGAGCGTGGTTTTGGCTTTTTTCATATTTTCAATTTTATATGCCGTTGGTTGACCCACCACTACGCAATTGGCTCTATTCTCATTCAATTTTTAAGGAATTGGATCCTCGCAAAACTTCGGAATCCTCCAGACCTATTAAATCCAACTGCTACAATTATTATAACTTTAAAAAAAAATTCATGTTTGTAGTCGTTAGATCAAAATTCAATAGTTCGTGTTATTGGATCAGGAGGATCCCAAGAATTTGCCTCGGAGAGGATCCAATTCCAATTTTTAATGCCACTGCCTTTGGTTTATATATAAAAAGGTATATAATTACATTAGTGCCATTGCTTTATGCTTTTATGTAAAAAGAATGGATGAATAAATTTGGTATTTGAGACCGATGAAATTGTGTCATTATATTGCATCAAGCAAAAAATATGAGGTGGTAGAGAGTTATGAAGTGTTTCATTTTTTAGGGAGTCCTCTAAGCATATTGGTATTTGGTCCTGTTGGAGACCAATGAAATTGCAAATGGGTTTAAAAAGTTCAACTTTCAATCATACATGTTCTTTTTGTTGTTTAATATTATTCCAGCTTCTCCTTCTTATTAATATTTTTTTTTTATAGAATGATGTATGAGTTGTTAGATGAAAGCACGATTAATTCATAATATATTGGTGATGGTCTGTATTTTAATCGAAACAATTTATATATGTGTCACGTACCGATAAAATTACAAATGGATTTAAAAAAAACCAACACAACGTTAAAACCAAGCCGGCATTAGTGATATTGTGATTCAATTAATTCAATTTTATATGCCGTTGGTTGACCCACCACTACGCAATTGGCTCTATTCTCATTCAATTAATTCATCAAACCAATTTTATATGCCGTTGGTTGACCCACCACTACGCAATTGGTTTGATGAGATGAATTATATGCCGTTTGTTTTTATTTTATGCATGGAAAGGTGTATGAGTAGTTGGTTGAAAGCACAATTAATTCATAATATATTGGAACATATGAGCAGGATATTTTTGCAACAAGTTGCACATTGATGATTTTCATCAAAAAATGCCGTGTGCTTCACTTCTGCTTAGATTTGCAGGATATTTTTGCAACAAGGAACACATGCGTAGCTCTCATGCTAGTTTTTACAATTGCAAGTGGAATACTCGAGTGGTTTGCAAGGTTTGGTTCAGGCACTTTGGTTTTTTGAAGGATAATTTTACCTGCAGTTTATATTTCCCTTAATGATATTGGAGAGGGTTTTGTTATTAGCAACCCACATTATGTTGAATACACTCCACTTTAAAATTTGATATTAAATAAGTTATATACCTTAATATGGAATGACAATTTCGACTTTTTAAGGTTTTAAAAATAAATACATAAACTCTAAATAAACCTCAAATCACTTTTAGCATGTATATCCTAAGATTATTTATCTTCTTTAACTCTCAAAACCACTCTCACCTTCCTCCATTACATGTAACAATTTACCGTGTTAAAATTTTGTCTCAAGTTTGGCAATGAGACGTGCTAGCTTATTCACCAAAAACTTCTAGCTTTGTAACAAGAATCATAAGAAGAGAAAAAAAATTATTCTTATTAGACTTATACAAATAGCATATAATTGTCAATTTGTAGATTTTTAAGGTTTGTTTGGGCTTACTTTCTTTCAGACCTTTTAAGCACCACGGAATGTTTTATACAACAACAATCTTTTATATATGCTTTATTTTATTAGTGGTTTATACACTAATTAAGTTATAATGATAAGGGAGGAAACTAATATTAATGTTTATTTCTTCTGATGTGGTTAGAATTTTGTGAAGCAATGGAGGGAAGTAGCAAGTTTTAAAGGTTTAGGCAAGCTCATGCCTAATATTATAGTAGTATTTTTGTAGCTTTTTGCCGAATTTTCAAGGTTTTTCATTATCAAAAGGTAGGTTAGCATCTGGAAAAGTATGAAGCAATTCAAAAATAGTATTCACGATGTTAATGCAGAACCATTATGCTATGCATTTCTAAATCCCTTTTTGCCACAATTATGCTATGCATTTCTAAATCCCTTTTTGCCACAAAATGATAGATTCTCAAATTTACATCCTTAGTATTTGGAAGGGAGGAGAAACAACATAGAAATCACATATTCCAAGAAACAAATAAGATCTTTGGTTGACTTTATGTATTTGCATCTAAGCTGTGAAGAGTGTGGGGTGTAGGTAGGAAATTTGTGATGTATGTTGAGAGTTGGGGTGTGAGGGTATTAGAGGAAAGTATGTGGGATGTATTAAAATATATTTTATTTTTAATTAGTGTAGATAATATCGTTTGTTAAAAAAATAAGGGTTAAACTATGTTTACTACCCTCATGTTTCGTGGTTTTCAACATTTAGTACATCAAGTTTTTTTCGTCCTAAAATCATACCTAAAGTGTAAATTTTGGAACAGTCTCATACATCCGTTAGTCAAATAGTTAAGTCTCCCGTTAAGTGATGACATGGCGCCCAGTTAAGTCTTCTCCTTCCTTCCTTCTCTTCAGAGGGGTTCACGTTTTTTTTCTTCTTCTTCTTCTTTTCTTATCTTCAGAAGAGGGGTTCACCTTCTCCGTCACCAAGTCCCCAGACCTTTCAGCCATTCACAATAACCCACAAGCCCACCAGCCGCAAATCGGTTAACTCCGTGCAAATCATCTGACCCGATGATGTGACCCAACCAGACGGCGTCATCCACGGGATCGAGCGCCTCTTAATCCCTCGCTCTGTCGAGGACGACTTCAACCTGAGACGGAATCTTCAGACCATATCCGCCATTCACCCCGAGGGAGCTCCCGAGGTCAACCCCAAAACCCATTGCTTGAAGAAACCGGCTCCTCCAGTTCCAGTCGGGGCCCTACCAGTTCTATCGACCCATACCCATACCGGTAAGAGCGGATTGTAGTTCCCGACCCACCATCCCAACTCCACCGTCTATTCGTAAGCCCATCCCTGTTGGAGCTATAATAGAAAATATGAAAAATAACAAAAGAATTTCAATGAAAGTATTCATAAAGAAAATCACAACATCAATTATGTATGAGATTAATATAAACAATTAGAGATAAAGTGAGAAAAACTGACAAACTCGGAGATTGAGGCTTGCATAAAAGCAATGTCCTAAAAATAGAATTTCGCCCCTACTCTTGTGTTTGTAGTTCAATAGGCGTCCATCTCCCAGGATTCAACAATTTATAATCCGAAGTCAAAGCACTTCAATCTTCGGATTCTGGCGAACTTCATATATTCCGTACTCTCAAGACACGACTCGAAATTTGACACACGAAGCATGAGAGAAACAAAGTGGGGAAACCCTATTTCTCAAAAGTAAACATTAACTCTAATTTTCTATATTTAATACCAATGGTTTCATGGGCTTATATAGAATCCAACTTCTACTTAT